TTAAAGATTCTAGTTTATGATATGATATAAAAACTATATGATAGTATTAATAAAATTTCGAGAAAAAAAATATTAAAGAAAAAACTGTCAAATTTGTAAATATAAACTAACATATTTTTAAAAAAATTATATCATATTTATTTTTAATGGTAATGATATGATATATATGTTAAATTGAAGCTTAAAGATTCTGGTTTATGATGTGATATAAAAATTATATAATAGTATTAATAAAATTTCGAGAAAAAAAGTATTAAAGAAGAAACTGTCAAATTTGTAAATATAAACTAACATATTTAAAAAAAAAACATATCATTTGTATTTTTAAGAATAATGATATGATATATATGTTAAATTTGAGGTTGAAGATTCTAGTTTATGATATGATATAAAAACTATATGATAGTATTAATAAAATTTCGAGAAAAAAAATATTAAAGAAGAAACTGTCAAATTTGTAAATATAAACTAACATATTTTTAAAAAAATCATATCATTTGTATTTTTAATAGTAATGATATGATATATATGTTAAATTTGAGGGTAAAGATTCTAGTTTATGATATGATATAAAAACTATATGATAGTATTAATAAAATTTTGAGAAAAAAAATATTAAAGAAAAAACTGTCAAATTTGTAAATATAAACTAACATATTTTTAAAAAAATTATATCATATTTATTTTTAATGGTAATGATATGATATATATGTTAAATTTGAGGTTGAAGATTGTAGTTTATGATAGGATATAAAACCTATATGATAGTACTAATAAAATTTCGAGAAAAGAAATATTAAAGAAAAACTGTCAAATTTGTAAATATAAACTAACATATTTTTAAAAAAATCATATCATTTGTATTTTTAACAATAACGATATGATATATATGTTAAATTTGAGGTTGAAGATTCTAGTTTATGATATGATATAAAAACTATATGATAATATTAATAAAATGTCCAGAAAAAGATTATTAAAGAAGAAATTGTTAAATTTTTAAATCAAAGATAATATGAAATTTTCAAAAAAACATATCATCTGCATTTTTAACAGTAATGATATAATATATATGTTAAATTAAAGCTTGAATATTCTAGTTTATAATATAACATAAAAAATATATGATAGTATTAATAAAATTGTCAGAAAAAATTCTTAAAGAAGAAACTCTCAAATTTTCAAACAAAAAATAACATCAAATTTTTAAACAATCAGATTCCTCCTCAAAATTTGCATTAAATTCATCCGATAAATAAAGATCTCCAACTTCATTATGTTCCTCATTCGACATAAATTTATGAGTTGGAGTCTTTTTAGGTCTAAATTGAACGAATTTTTGTTTTTGATGCTAAAGTTCGAGGTAAAAGAATTTATTTAACAGTTATTAATGTTTGTGTGAGAAGTGACAACGAAAAAATCACTTTTTTACATATTATTAATTTACTTTTTAGAAACAATTGTTTTTTTAACATAAATAGATAGAAAATTAAAAATCCTTTAAAATGAATCCAAACTCGACCTATTTATCTCCAACCGTTATCGAGATATCTTAATTTTTAGCAAAAAAAAATGGCGGTTATTTGACATTTGACAGTTCATAACCTAACTTTTTTAATTTGTTAACCCAAACATATCGTGTTTAGTATCAAATTAAAACATTTTTGATTCTTATTACAATCATTTCAATATTTATCAAAAAAAACGTTACATTTAATTTTGACATTTGACAGTTTCTAACCTAGCTTTTCTAGTTTTTAACCCAAATATATCGTGTTTGGTATCAAATTAAAGCATTTTTGATTCTTATTACGATCATTTCAATATTTATCAAAAAATCGTTATAATTCATTTTGACATTTGTCACTTTATAACCTAACTTTTTTATTTTACAACCCAAATACATCATGTTTGGTATCAAATTAAAGCATTTTTGATTCTTATTAAGATCATTTCAATATTTTTCAAAAATCGTTATATTTAATTTTGACATTTGACAGTTTATAACCTAACTTTTTTAGTTTTTAACCCAAATATATCGTGTTTGGTATCAAATTAAAGCATTTTTGATTCATATTACGATCATTTCAATATTTATCAAAAAGTCGTTAATTTAATTTTGACATTTGACAGTTTCTAACCTAACTTTTTTATTTTTTACTCCCAACACATTGTGTTTGGCATCAAATTAAAGCATTTTTGATTCTTATTAAGATCATTTCAGTATTTATCAAAAAATCGTTAAATTTAATTTTGACATTTGACACTTTACAACCTAACTTTTTCATTTTTTAAGCCAAATACATCATGTTTGGTATCAAATTAAAGCATTTTTGATTCTTATTGCGATCAAATTAATATTTATCAAAAAAATCGTTAAATTTAATTTTAACATTTATCACTTTTTACCCCAAACATATCGTGTTTGGTATCAAATTAAAGCATTTTCGATTCTTATTAAGATTTCTTAACTCACCTTAACACATTATTCGAGGTTAAAATCAAAACGTGATTATCATGATGACTCCCGATATGAAACTTGACTTGGCATATCTCAACGTTTCCATTAAAAGCTAAGGATTCCAATAACGCGTGACTCCTGCAAAAAAAAGAAAAGAAAGTTTTCTTTGTATAAATCACGAAAACTTAAAATTAACTAGTAGACAATTTGCATAGAAGGTACGTGTGTATGTATTTAGCCCTTAACGACTTTTGAAGTTTCATCCGGCGACGCGGAATTTTGCAATAAATACATCCTCCGCCGTACGGGGGCCCCCTACTCGCGGCGAGAACGAAGGGGGTAAGAAGGGAAGGCAAATTGCGAACAACTTTAATTTAATGTGCAATATATATCCTATTTAGAGGTGGGCCGCCGTGACATAATGGCTCTGAGGAGACACTTTATAATGGAAGTTTGAAAATTCGGGGGACAGGTGTTGCCAACATCGCGTTAGAAAAGAAATTAAGCGCCGCCGGTCCGACCTAGACCGGGTTAAGAGCTCTTCGTTGTATTTCGATTTAGACAAGAAGAAGAGTCAAAACTCAAAGGGGCGAAGACAACAAAACGAGGAGGACTTTTAACGACTTAAAATTAAAACTTTTTTAATTTAATAAAATTATTTCTTTTTTTTTCTTTAATAAATAAATAAATAAATAAATGGGAATCAATTCGTTTTATTTAAGTAAGTGTTAAGGAGGGAGAATTCGCTGGAGTAGTATATTTTCGCTCCCTCCGCGCCAAAGGCATAGATTAATTAATGAATAAATAATCAAGTGCGGGTTTTGGATGCTGGAATTGGGCGAATTCGGTTTGGGGGGTGGATTTTGGGGGGATGGGTCTGATCATAAGATATAGGCCCCAAAACCAACCGCCGCGCCGAAATAAGGCCATATTTTAGCCGTTCTATTATGTATCGGGCGAACCGCAACCTGGACGATACAACGTTGTATTGGTTTCGGGGGGAAACGTGGTCTAAAAATGCTTGAAATTTTTAATCCCGCTGTAATTTCCGAATGAGAGAACATTAAATTTTTGACTAATGTCCGTTTCTTCTTCGTGTACGGGGTTAAAATTTGTGCGGCGTCGGTTTCCGGCGAAGATAAATCGCCCTTTCAACGAAAAAGAGAAGGGAAATTCACACGTATAAAAATTATCTAAGCGGCTATATTGGACCCCACCTTTCCTCGTTTCCTCATGTTCCCCCACAAAAATAAAATTAAAAAAAAAGGAGTCACGTAACTTTCTAACCCTTTCCATTCATTCTCCTAACTTCATTTCAAATCGTAAATTTAAAATTATCGTTTCACTAATTTTTTTTCTCCTTTCTTAAAGGGGGGTGAAATATACGAATTACGTTTTGCACCTTTGGATTTTTTTCACCCTCAAGGGTTATTTTTTCCCCCGTTGGGGTGGAGTTGCAATTAGTTTTTCTTTTCATTAAGACTCGCGTATTTCGTTATAGTTTATATTGTTTTTTTTTTGAGTAGGAAGAAACCGTTTTCAAGTTTTGCTGCAATTGCGTTTGTTACACTCCATAAAGTGCGAGTTAAATAAATTCGGGGGTCACCCCTTTTTGTTAATTTTTCGTTGGCGAAACCGCGCGGGTATTAATAAATTTTTCGTTGAGTTCCGAAAAAAAATTTCTTACCAAATAAAAAAAATCTAATAAAAGTGTTTTAACAAGTAGGAAAAAAATCATATTATCTGTGTTTTTAATGGTAATGATATGATATATATGTTAAATTTGAGGTTGATGATTCTGGTTTATGATATGATATAAAAACTATATGATAGTATTAATAAAATNATATTAATAAAATTTCCAGAAAAAGATTATTAAAGAAGAAATTGTCAAATTTTCAAATCAAAGATAATACGAAATTTTCAAAAAATCATATTATCTGTATTTTTAACAGTAATGATATGATATATATGTTAAATGGAAGCTTATAAATTCTAGTTTATGATATGATATAAAAACTATATGATAATATTAATAACATTTTCAGAAAAAGATTATTAAAGAAGAAATTGTCAAATTTTCAAATCAAAGATAATATAAAATTTTCGAAAAATCATATCATCTGTATTTTTAATGGTAATGATATGATATATATGTTAAATTGAAGCATAAAGATTCTGGTTTATGATATGATATAAAAACTATATGATAATATTAATAAAATTTCCAGAAAAATATTATTAAAGAAGAAATTGTCATTTTTTTAAATTAAACAATACAAAATTTTCAAAAAATCATATCATCTGTATTTTTAATGGTAATGATATGATATATATGTTAAATTGAAGCATAAAGATTCTGGTTTATGATATGATATAAAAACTATATGATAATATTAATAAAATTTCCAGAAAAATATTATTAAAGAAGAAATTGTCATTTTTTTAAATTAAACAATACAAAATTTTCAAAAAATCATATCATCTGTATTTTTAAAGGTAATGATATGATATCTATGTTAAATTGAAGCTTGAAGATTCTAGTTTGTGATAGCATTAATAAAATATCCCAAATTTTTACGAAGAACTTTTTACATACTATTTTACGCACTTTTTTACATATTATTATATACATATATTAACCTTTTAGAAAGATCTAGGCCGAATTCAGCCGAGTATCGATCCAAAGATTTTTTTTAGTTATAAAGCTGTTCTTTTTTAAACATAAATGAGTAGAAAATTAAAAATCCTTTAAAATGAACCCAAACTCGACCTATTTATCTCCAACCGTTATCGAGATATCTTAATTTTTAGCAAAAAAAAAAATGGCGATTATTTGACATTTGACAGTTTATAATCTAACTTTTTTGTTTTTTAACTCAAACATATCGTATTTAGTATCAAATTAAAGCATTTTTGATTCTTATTACAATCATTTCAATATTTGTTAAAGAATCGTTATATTTAATTTTGACATTTGACAGTTTGCAACTTAACTTTTCTATTTTTTAACCTAAATACATCGTGTTTGGTATCAAATTAAAGCATTTTTGATTTTTATTAAGATTATTTCAATATTTATCAAAAAATCGTTATATTTAATTTTGACATCTGACAGTTTCTAACCTAACTTTTTTCGTTTTTAACCCAAACATATCGTGTTTGGTATCAAATTAAAGCATTTTTGATTCTTATTAAGATCATTTCAATATTANTTTTTAATGGTAATGATATGATATATATGTTAAATTAAAGCTAAAAGGTTCTAGTTTATGATAAGATATAAAAACTATATGATAGTATTAATAAAATTACGAGAAAAATATTATTAAAGAAGAAACTGTCAAATTTGTAAATATAAACATATTTTTAAAAAAATCATATCATTTCTATTTTTAATGGTAATGATATGATATGTATGTTAAATTTGAGGTTGAAGATTCTAGTTTATGATATGATATAAAAACTATATGATAGTATTAATAAAATTTCGAGAAAAAAAATATTAAAGAAGGAGCTGTCAAATTTTATATATAAACTAACATATTTTTAAAAAAATCATATCATTTGTATTTTTAATGGTAATGATATGATATATATGTTAAATTGTAGTTTAATTTATGATATGATATAAAAAATATATGATAGTATTAATAAAATTTCGAGAAAAAAAATATTAAAGAAGAAACTGTCAAATTTGTAAATATAAACATACATATTTAAAAAAAATCATATAATTTGTATTTCTAATGGTAATGATATGATATATATGTTAAATTTGAGGTTGAAGATTCTAATTTATGATATGATATAAAAACTATATGATAGTATTAATAAAATTTCGAGAAAAAAAATATTAAAAAAGAAACTGTCAAATTTGTAAATATAAACTAATATATTTTAAAAAAAATCATATCATTTGTATTTTTAATGGTAATGATATGATATATATGTTAAATTTGAGGTTGAAGATTCTAGTTTATGATATGATATAAAAACTATATGATAATNATTATAACTTAACTTTTTTATTTTTTACCCCAAACACATCGTGTTTGACATCAAACAATCTTCTCAACAACCAAATAAAAAAAAATCCAATAAAAGTGTTTTAACAAGTAGGAAAAGAATAAAAAAGGGGGGATGGTTCGGTTTTTCAGAAAAAGTACAAAACGGCATCGAGGGGGCGAGGGAGGGCGAAGTGCAAATAGGTAGAGAGAAATTAAAACCCGCTATCGATGCGAATAACCCTATCCAAACGCAATAATTCAGGACCGCGGGTCCGAAAAAGGGAAAAACTAGAGAAGAAGGGAAAATACGTGCTCAGCGCTGGCCCGCGCAGATAAAAACCACGAACGACGGCACGCGCCCCATCTACCCCACATACAAACGACTTTCTCGATATTAGTCTTATTACAAAAAAAACTAAAACAAAAAAAATTAATTCTGTAATTATAGAAACTCCATCTATCGGAATCTATTAGATTAACTCTACAAAATCTAAAAACATAACAAATAAAGATTGTTTTTTTTCTAGAAGCCGAGGCAGCTATGCTGCCGAGGCAGTGGTTCAAGATATAAATAAAGATTATTTAGTGAGTTTATACGTCATCTACAAGCTCAGAGCCGAGGCGAGTCATTGCCTCGGCAAGACTTAAAATATAACAAATAATCTAGAATTATCTAGAAGCCGAGGCAGCTGTGCTGCCGAGGCAGGGGTTCTAGATTTAATGAATTATAAATAAAGACGAATTTTTTAACAGCTGAGGTTGATCTGCAGTGTTCACTACTTAATTATACAGGGTTTTCCAAAAGTACCACCTTTGAAATTTAAGAAAATGTGTTTTTTCTGTCTAAAATGAGAATCCATTGACAGAAAAAGCCACTTGATAACATATTAATCCAGTATAAACAGCTTTATTTATTATTTTTAAGTATTTAGCCACTGCCTCAGCAGCTGCGCTGCCTCGGGCTCTAAATAACACATCCGAATTTCATTCGAATATAGCTACAGGGTTTTGAAACTGTGAATGTATTGACTAAGACATTGATTTTTAGGTTATTCAAAGCTCATGGAAATTGGATTAGAATTAAAATTTTTTAGAAAATGAATAATATTTGGTTAATACTCTGGGAGGGTTTGTGGTTTTGAAAATCGTCGGTCGTAGTCGACGCTGGGCATAA